GTGACAGTGACGCGGTTGCCATGGTAACTCACGCAGCAGGTACTCGGCGCTGTCGTGGTCGTACTCGAGATCCTCGGGGAAGTGATTGATGCGCAGGCACAGCCCCCGCTTCAGCCCTGGGGACACCGGGGACAGAGGGGACAACATTGGGGACATCAGGGACACCATTGGGGACAGTGGGGACATCAATGGGGACACCTCAAGTGACCCCAGCCGTGTCACCGATGTCCCCAACGGTGTCACCGATGTCCTGCCAATGTCCCCACTGATGTCACCGGTGTCTGAACCCGTCCCTGACAGTGTCCCCAGTGTCCCCAATCGTCTCCACGTCCCCAAGAGCGTCCCCAGGGTCTCCAGTGATGTCATCGGTGTCACCAACTGTCCCCAGCCCTGGCAAAGACTCCCCCAGTGATGTCCCCAATGTCCCCAACAGCCCCGCCATGCCCTCCCGGTGTCCCCAAGGTGTCCCCAGGCTGTCCCAGTGTCCCTGGGCTGTCCCCAGGTGTCCCCCAGGTGTCCCCAGGTGTGCCCAGGTGTCCCCCAGGTGTCCCCAGGGAGTCCCCAGGCTGTCCCAGTGTCCCTGGGCTGTCCCCAAGGTGTTCCCAAGGTGTCCCCAGATGCCCCCAGGTGTCTCCAGGTGTCCCCAGGTGTCCCCAGGTGTCCCCAGGTGTGCCCAGGTGTCCCCAGGTGTGCCCAGGTGTCCCCCAGGTGTCCCCAGGGTGTCTCTGATGTCCCCTGGCTGTCCCCAGGTGTCCCCAGGTATCCCCAGGTGTCCCCATGCCATCCCCAGGTGTCCCCATACTGTCCCCAGGTGTCCCCCAGGTGTCCCCAGGTGTGCCCAGGTGTCTCAGGTGTCCCCAGGGTGTCTCTGATGTCCCCAGGTGCGCCCAGCTGTCCCCAGGTGTCCCCAGGGTGTCTCTGATGTCCCCAGGTGTCCCCAGTTGTCCCCCAGGTGTCCCCAGGTGTCCCCATACTGTCCCCAGGTGTCCCCAGTTGTCCCCCAGGTGTCCCCAGGTGTCCCCATACTGTCCCCAGGTGTCCCCAGGTGTCCCCAGGTGTCCCCCATGCCGTCCCCAGGTGCGCCCAGCTGTCCCCAGGTGTCACCTTCCAGGCAGCACACCCTCCAGAGGCCGGAGTGGGTGAGGCCGCCGTGCTCGCGGCGCTCGCCCATGGCGGTGGCCGTGGCGGTGGCCGCGGGTGGCCCCGCGCTGGTGCCGTTGGTGGCCGCGCCGTTGGTGCCGTTGCAGACGCGGGCGCGCGCGTAGAGCCAATAGTCGGTGCCGATGGCGATGGCCATGAGGCCGAAGGCCGCGAAGGCGCCCACGGCCGTCAGCAGCACCTGAGCCCCCCGCTCGCACCACAGCGCCCCTCCCCCACCGCCGCCCGCCCCTCCCCCCTCAGCCCCTCCCCCATCCCA